TCATTGGTGTGTATATTTGTTTGGTTATAGAGAAAACTCTCTTTGTCTGTAAAAGAAACTGAACAAGGGGAACAAACTTTACCTTCGATTTTCTCAAAGCAGCATTTTTCGGGATAGCCCCCTTTGTGCTTAAAAGCGACCAATTTACCGATGTTGTTAGGGACTGGTGCACTTGACAAACTGTGCAATATGCCCGAAAGAATCTAAAAAAACTTACTCGGGGTGTTCATAAGTATGCACATTCCGTGGCGTCTGGAGGGTTGTAAAAAGGGGGGGGGGTTGCCGTGACCAAACATTGAGATTGCTCAGATTATAAGGGATGCATAATGACTGAAGAGACAGTGAAACACGCATTTATAAAAAGACAACGTGAAAATGTATAAATTCAAAAGTATTATACTCTTGTGATAAGTGGAAATACACGTTTGAAACCAGAAAATTGGAATCACCTTTGTGTCCATATACACATGACATGATTTGTGTCCTAGTCCTATGCTTTTTTATGCTGAACAAATTTACCAACGACTTTTTTGTGGTTGAACTGTGTGTCTTTTTATTAGGAACCATTCCTGATTTAAATATCATCTCATTTGCTTTCCTTCCACAATAGAATGCAAACATCAACAGCTTCGCTGAGTCATCTATAGTGCGGTCCAAAAATTGTGCCACAATAATATTATTATATCCTCAATATCTGTTAAACGGGAGAATCAATATCACCCATACTTTGCACAGCAGTTTGTATCAATTTGTCTCAACTTTATCATTTCCCCCCCACAACAATTGAGGCTAGATTAAAAATATATAATATTTATTATATAACATAGGCCGCTACAAATCTTCGTCATGCGGAAAATAGGAGTGTTCACAGCACTTCCCGCTTCTCACACACGGTACTTGCACGCATAGGCCACCTGGGGCCTATTCACTGACTGGTGAAATTTTAAGGCATTGCTACTCATACTTTGCGCAATTAGTCCCACTCTTGGTCAGTAGTGATGCACTTGTTCCAGTGCGTTTTTGGTTTTAAAAGATTAAAAAATATAATCATCCATGGTTGCAAAAAATAAAAAAAATAAAAAATGTTGTTTAAAATTGTCAAATTTTGTGCCACATCAGTTGTTGCAAAAAAACAAACAACCTCAAACAAACCCAAAAAACAAATAAATAAAATAAAAGCAAATTATTTTTATAATGAACCTTTTTTTTTGTCTCAAAACATGTGTTCAATAAACATTGTGTCACCCCCCGGGGTGGTGCCTCTGACTGAAGTGTCTTTAGGCCATTCCCAAAGGGGGGACATTTCTCGTTCATGCACAGTAGAATTGTAAATGGGCTGATTCATCAATGTCACACTCATAACTGTGCCTGATCTACAGCCGAGAGCTGCTGCTTTTCTTTCCTAATCCTTACTATTGTAATTTTTTCCTCTACTTCTTTTGTATGTTTGTCACACTCTTGTGACCCACTATTCCTGGGATGCCTACTTGATAGTTGAAGCAGACTTTGTGCTGTTGAAGCTAGAGAGAGGTAAGCAGAGTAGGTCTGATTCCCTGTAAGGACTTCTCTGTTGACATCCACCCCTTCGCGCTCATATGACCTTTCAGTTCGTCTCACATGCTGAACTAACGTTTAATTATATGTATAATGCTTGTAAATAAAGCCACACTTTATAACACTTATCCGCAAAACGAAAGGTGCCGTACACCCTCC